CAATCTTCACACCAAGTGAAGGTGCGAAAATGCTCAGAGCATGGAACATTCCTGTGACACAACCGAGAAACGCACGACCACCGTCAACTTCTCCACCCAGGAAACAAACAAAGGACATCCGATTCATCCCCTGGCACACTGCAGACCCAACGGATACACAACCTAGGACACTGGCACAATAGACTGCAGTGCTACCAACCAACGTTGAATGAATACAGATATGTATATTATACGTGAGATTGTACACCCGAACCCCTCTAGTGCACCCTCGTAGCTGTCTTCACTAGCAATGTGATCCACAGCCGAGAGTCCACAACAGGTGGCTTAACCGATAATTGTCCAAGTTACTAGATATATACTGTTATCCTTTATCCCTCCCTTCTACTATATATTCAACTGAAACGTTACGAAATCCTACCTGTAAGGTGTAACAACTAAGTGGGTTTCACGTACAACTACAGGCTGGTCATTACCAGACAAATTAGCATAGATTAACCCAAGACAATACTTAGCAGGTACCTAATTAGACGCACCCACGGTACCCCATAAGGCTTATCTACTAAGATAAGATCTCTGCCCTAGGCCACCTGGCTAATGGGTTTGTATATAGTTTATGTTATATCATTGTAATCTACCACCCAAGCTTACCCCACCCCCGACCCTCATCAAACAACCGGAGTAAGACGGTAAAAAGCAGGGATAAGCGTCAAGACGCAATGCTATCCACAACAGTCAGTTAAAGTACGATTAGCAACATGCCAATTAAAGTACTTTCCCTTAATACGAAAGGGCTGAACACACCCCATAAAAGGCGACTAGCACTATTGGAAGCTAAAAAACAGAAGGCGCAGGTAGCCTTCTTTCAAGAAACCCATTTTAAATGGGGTGCAAGGCCGAGGTTCAATTCCCCCTGGTTCCCCATAGACCACCATTCCTGCTGCTCCACAAAAAAGAGAGGAGTCTCTATCCTGGTTAGCAAGAATGTAGCCTTTGAATTGATTCGCAAAATCAGTGACAGACAGGGCAGATATCTCATCATACAATGCCACTTAAATAACAACCCCTTTACCTTGATGAATGTGTATGGGCCCAATGCTGATCAGGAAGAGTTTATGAGCCGGGTATTTGCCTTGTTAAATCTGTGTAGCTTTGGGGAGGTAATACTTGGAGGCAACACCAACTTTCTCCTAGACAGTTCCAAAGACTCATCTGCCTCGAACAAAGTAACATCCACCACCTCCAAGAGGAGGCTCGCGCAATCCCACAACATCTGTGACATCTTAGCAACACATGATTATGTAGACCCTTGGAGAATAACACACCCTTACGACACAGACTACACCTGCCACACGGCAGTACACAACAGCTACTCAAGAATTGACAGGTTCTTGCTTAGGTCTACCACACTCATGAAAGTACTAGAGACAGACATCGGAGACATTACGTGGTCTGACCATGCTCCCATCACGCTAACAATAAAAGATGGGCTTCCCACTAACGGTCAAACATCTTGGAGGTTGAATGACATCTTGCTAACAAACCCACACATAGTCCAACAGGTCACAACAGATCTGCAGAATTACTTTGCAGACAATGACAAGCAGGATACTGACCCAGATTATGTCTGGCTAGCACACAAAGCAGTCATTAGAGGCAGTTTTATAAAACACGCCAGCCATGCCAGAAGAACGCACTTAGCACAATACCTAGCCCTCATAAACGAGATCAAAGCTATTACACACAGGAACAAACACTCGCCTACTCTAGAAAAACAACGAAACCTTTTAACCTTACAAACACGACTACGAGACACGGAATTAGCCAAAACCACCTACTACTTGCAAAAATCTAGGCACAAATTCTTTACAGCAGGTAACAGAGCCGGAGCTAAGCTAGCAGCGCAACTAAAACAAAAAGCGATCGCCTCCAGGATTGCCTACCTCAAAAATGAGAAATGTCAAAAAATCATTGAACCTGGGGAAATTGTTAACGCATTTGCAGAGTATTACCACAAATTGTACAACCTGCAAGAAGACAAAGACACGACTGTCCCGTGTACAGCAGACATATACATTTCTAGCAGACATAAACCTACCATCCCTGACTGCTACCGCAATACAGTCCTTGCGACAACCCATATCCCTAGAAGAAATCACATCAGTGATTGCAAAACTACCCACTAATAAATCACCTGGACGGTCTCACAAACAACTACTATAAATTATTTGCAGCTACACTTTCCCCGCACCTATTAAGACTGTACAGACAGAGCAGTGAAAGAGGAGCGTTACCAGCAGAAATACTCCTGGCCCATATTTCCACCCTCCCTAAGCCCGGGAAACCACCGACCCACTGCAAGAATGTCAGACCTATATCACTACTAAATAGCGACGCTAAAATATACGCCAAAATACTCAGCAATAGAATAGCCCCATTCCTCAAACAATTAGTGCACAACGACCAGTCGGGGTTTGTCAGAGGCCGTCAAGGCTCGGATAATACCCGATGGGTCCTTAACGTGCCGGCACACAAGGAATAACACTGAAGGCTTCCTGTTGGCGCTGGATGCGGAGAAGGCCTTCGACCGCCTTAACTGGTCATACATGACAAAGGTCTTAGAGAAATATATATTCCCACCTGAAATGATCAGAGGAATAGAAGCACTATATAGCATGCCGGCGTCCAAAGTCTCGACAGGAGGATTCACCTCTGATAAATTCCATATTACTAATGGAACACGCCAAGGATGTCCCTTGTCCCCTCTCCTATATATTTTGTCACTTGAGCCACTGGCGCTCAAAATTAGCACAAACTCAGACATCAAGGGGATACAAATTAATGCCCAGGAACACAAGCTAGCGCTGTTTGCTGATGATGTCCTGATATCAATCGCAGACCCAGAGAGTTCTCTACCGCACATTATGCATACCCTTAAGGAATTCGGCCTAGTTTCCCACTATAAACTCAACCAGGATAATACCCAGGCACTGACACTTAACCTGCCACTAGAACGGAAAACGACACTGTTATCGTACCCTCAGCATGAAATGTACAAACTGCCGTTTAGTGAATGCTCCCCGTTCGCAGTAACACAGGCTGCATGCTTATCCAGTATAGTCATGCGAACCGCAAGCAAGGGAACGCTGCAAACTCAGGAACGGGATCCGTACGGGCACTTCACTCCACGATCTCTAAACTCACGAATCGCCAATATTAGCCAAACAATCGCACGAATGACTAGACCACCTGGGAGCTGGATCGTGCCGGCAATTAGCCTCCCAGAAGCTGCGGTTAATCGCAGCTTAATTGACGAATACTGGGTGGCCGCCATTCGTATACTGGACACGAGGTCGTGGCCATTTTAAACACGCGAACGCACAGCGGTGTTGGACGCCTAACTCATGGAACTAAAAACGGACACAGTTTGGCGCGAACACCGCCGAAGCTGCCGACCTCCCTTCTTGTTCGGCGAAAGTGCACGAACGGCCCGGTGTTCGGTAGTTGTACCTGACTGCACTATACCCAGATAGGAATCCCATGGAGCTCATTCGTATGAGAACTGACTTTGTAAGGACTTTGGCTCCATGGCGATTAAGCTGTATTCATGTGGTCTGAGCGCCATTCGCTTAATAATGTGCGCTCAGACCTGAGCTATCTGGGGATATGTTAAATGTATAGTTTTATTGTAAGTTATGTCATATAATGTATTTTAATAGTAATTCTTGCTTTAGTATCCCCACGTGCATAATGGCGATTTGCCTTTGTCCTGGGAGATAATTGAATTATACATTGTGGGAATATAATGTGACTGTGTGTCCTGTTTGGCTGATTGTCTGTCTTTTGTTACAGTCTCCCATTTGGTCCCCTAGGGGAGTGTCCACCTGGTGGGAGACTTGCATAAATACTGGGCATATTATACGTGAGATTGTACACCCGAACCCCTCTAGTGCACCCTCGTAGCTGTCTTCACTAGCAATGTGATCCACAGCCGAGAGTCCACAACAGGTGGCTTAACCGATAATTGTACAAGTTACTAGATATATACTGTTATCCTTTATCCCTCCCTTCTACTATATATTCAACTGAAACGTTACGAAATCCTACCTGTAAGGTGTAACAACTAAGTGGGTTTCACGTACATTACATTTTTATGAGAAAATGGCTGAACCTTAAGAAAAGACTTGATTAGCAGATGTCACATGTGGCATAATCTTTTTAAACAATGATTTTTATTTGAGCTGTAACATGCCCCTTTAAATCTGAAATTCACATTTATTTAGTAATAAGCGAGACAAGTCTACTGCTAAGATAGAAGACATGATCACATTGCATCAGACTGTATAGTAAGATGCAATTGTGACTGTGGGAGTGCCTGGAACAGATCCTGCTATCCAGGATCTTTACATATGCAACATGTTGGACAGTCACAGTAAGTAGAGGGATAGCTGAAAAACTGGGCTATCTCCCCTGATACAGGGAGAGGGGAGGCTGGCCACATGGCCACCAAGCAGCAGGGCAGCTCGGTGGGTAAGACCAGGCTGTTAGCCATGCACAGAGCCCATGTGGCTCCAACAAAATGGCCGCCACGGCCGCAAAAAACAAGCACCCCCTACCGCGTCGTGATCGCCCGGCACTGCCACGGTTGAAAAAGCGATCCAGCAAGCGGCCAGGGGCCTTGTGGAGCAGGGGAACCCAGGGAGGGGAAATGGATTACAGGCAGAGCAAAGCACCTTAGCAGGGCAAGCACCCATTCCCCATACATCAGAGTGAGGAAACAGTATAAAGTAACCCAGAATAACAATACATCAATCCAGAATCTATCAGAATCAGATAAATAGAATCTAAAAAACAGCAATAGATGTTATAAAGTGAAACAGCAGCTACATAGCATGAAGTGGTATAGGAAATAACACAGAATAAACTGCCTAGCTAAACCCAGCAATAGACTGCCTAAATAAACACCGCAAACAACTGTTTAAATAAATCCAGCAAAAAGAACTGCCTAAATAAATCCAGCAATTAAGCTGCCTAAATAAACCTAGCAAATATACTGCTTAAATAAACAAGCATCATGTAAGAGAAAAAACAACCCAGAGCAGAAACAACTCTGAGTTGGTGAGTGCTCACCTGGAGGCAGCAGCAAAGAAAGAGGAAATGGAAGGGCCTGCTTAGGGGTTTTATACTACTGTTGCTTTGTTCTGATTGGTTGTTTTGAAAAGTTCTGTTAACTGTTTCTTTGTTGCTGGAGGTCTCAGTAAAGAAGGTAAAGCAAATATGAAGCCTCCTGTCCTGCCATAAAATTGCCCTCAATATACCTATGCCTATACGAAGTCATACCCAAAGTTGGAAAAAAAAAAAAAAAATTTCCAATGCTCTATTTACTCTTCTTCGTACCCTTTCCAATGGTTTAAAAAACTTTTAACCAGCAATGCCTTGGAATAATCTCCGACCAGGTGAACCGAACATCTGGAAATATTTGTGTTATGCAAACCAAATCTCTTATATGAAATTGACTGATTTTGTTGAACCGATATCATTACCTCCCAAATGAACTATTATCACCTGTGGATAAGGAAAGCTTAACATACATTGCTGTATTATCTCAAATAATTGAGACCACTTGGCCCCACTAATTCCTTTCCAAAATACTTAAACAACATTGCTTTCCAATCCAAGATTATTGCCATATGACCGTTCTTTTGCCCTCTTCTGGGCCCAAAATATAAACGAGTGACTAATTACCCAGGCAATCGCCGGCTTCTTATTACCTAACAGAAGAAAATTATTAATATGTACACCAATGTTCATATTGATCAATAAACTTTGACAGCATTGAGCAGATAAACAAAATGTTTTTTATTTATTTTTTTAATATATCTTTTTTATTGGTTTTCATGTATACGGGGGTACAGAAAAAAGAAGGGGGGGTGCAGGGATTACATTTGTAAAACATTTTACAGACGAATAGGAAAAGCCTCCAAGCGGCTTACACTCCTAGCAATCAGTCTCTATCAGCATTCAGTAAATCCCCCCAAAGACGAGACAAGGCTCCATGTTGGGGATGAGAACTGGGCTTAAATACTGTTTAGTGTGACACCATTGTGGGCTTGGTGACCCCCTCCCTCTGGCAACATGGCTACTGATGAGTACTCTGCGGGCTCTACAACGCCCTGTAGGATTAATGCTGAGGGTGACCCCCTCCTGCTTCCTACACTAATGCACCGGCAATGTCCTATTATTATCGTACCGAGGATGAACCCCTCCTACAATATGCACTGCTGGACCGGCAACGTCCGGGCATACCCATAAAGGAGGGTACCTGTCAGGATTACAGAATGATCCAGCACGTAGAATTGTGTAACACAGAGGACTGATATGTATACCGGACCTTAGAATGGCCGGACTAACGTACCAAAGCACTGGGCAGGATGAGAACTGGGCCTAAATACCCCTCCTCTAGATCTGATAGGCTGTAACCGGCCTTTGACCCCAAAGACAGTTACCAGGAAAAAACAGCCCGTAAGACAGTAGGATACCGGCCATTATTAACAAAAAAATGGACTATGCCCAGAGGAGTCATGGTCAGGATTGTTCCTAGCAAACTCGGCCCATGGTAGTAATTCAGACCAAATGTCTTGAGTGCTATTAACGAAACAAAGCAATCTCATCTAGCATAGTTTCAGATAATCCCTTTTTAAATGCAGAGATTAACCCACTATTAGTGGGAGTCAGGGATGCCAGAAAAAATGGGAAGTCAAAAACAATGCCAAAGTCAAATAACCAGAATCAATAACGCGCTCTCGGACAACCACAAGGGAAACCACGACAGGGCACTGAGCAGGATGAGAACTGGGCTTAAATACCCCTCCTCTAGATCTGATAGGCTGTAACCGGCCTTTGACCCCAAAGGCAGTTACCAGGTTCCCATTTTCATAATTGCTGCTCAGCATTAACCCTTCTGTGGATTTGGTTGCTGCTCGGCACAACTTTTCCTGTGTTGACAGTAAATGCCATTAACCACATTTTTATAAGCGGATGAATACGTGACAGTACCCCTCCCACTGATTGCGCTACTGTTCTTACAGTTCCCTGCTATACACAAATACTGAGGGTGACCCCCCTCCTGTGGACTACTCTGCTGGACCTACAGTGTCTCGTTATAACCAGGGCCGCCATCAGGGCATGACAACCGCAACGGTTTTCATGGGCCCGGCGGTCCTGGGGGGCCCGGACTGCTCAGGTCGTCCGGGCCCCAGATTCAGTGGGTACATACCGGGTCGCAGGGGGCCCTGCGACCCGGTATGTACCCATAGGGCCAGCCTCTTCTCCTGGGGGGCCCAGCAGCCGGTCACCTCAGGGCCCCCCAGAGGCAGGCCCTGAAAGCTGACCGGCGCGCGAGGGAGCACTCTCTGTGTGCTTCCTCTTCAGCTCCCTCGCGCACCGTACTGATGCCGGAGCCGGAAGATGACAGAGAGTGCTCCCTCGCGCGCCCGCACGCCGCCGCCGGGTGTCAGGGGGGGAGGGAGGAGGAATGAAATTTGAGGGGGGGAAGGAATGGAATGGGGAAGAAATGGAATTTGAGAGAGGGGGGGAGTAATGAAATGGGAGGGGGAGGAATTAAATGGAGGGGGGGAATGAAATGGGAGGGGAGGGGGGGAATGAAATGGAGGGAGGGGGGAATGAAATGACGGGGAGGAGGAATGAAATTTATGGGAGGGGGGGGGAAAGAAATGAAATTTGAGGGAGGGGTGGAGGAATGAAATTTGAGGGGGGAGAGGAATGGAATTTGAGGGAGGAGAGGAAGGAAATTTGAGGCAGGGAGAGAGGAAGGAAATTTGAGGCAGGGAGAGAGGAAGGAAATTTGAGGGAGGGAGAGAGGAAGGAAATTTGAGGTGGGGAGAGGAATGAAATTTGAGGGAGGGAGGGGGAGAGGAAGGAAATTTGAGGCAGGGAGAGAGGAAGGAAATTTGAGGGACGGGGAGAGGAAGGAAATTTGAGGGACGGGGGGAGAGGGAATGAACCTGAGGGAGGGGGGGAGAGGAAGGAAATTTGAGGCAGGGAGAGAGGAAGGAAATTTGAGGGAGGGAGAGAGGAAGGAAATTTGAGGGACGGGGAGAGGAAGGAAATTTGAGGGACGGGGGGAGAGGAAGGAAATTTGAGGGACGGGGGAGAGGAAGGAAATTGGAGGGGAGAGGAAGGAAATTGGAGGGGGGAGAAGGAAATGAGAGGGAGGGGGAGAAGAAGGAAATTGGAGGGGGGAAGAAGGAAATTGGAGAGGGAGGGGGAGAAGAAGGAAATTGGAGGGAGGGGGGGAGAAGGAAATTGACGGGGGGAGGGGGAGAGATTGACATCCATCACACACAATGCACCCCTTGCACACAGAAAAACACACAATGCATTACACACAGACACACGTACACAAGCAATGCATCCCTTACACACAGCAACACACAATGCACCCCTTACACACACTCAATGCATCCCTTACAGACGCACACACTGCATCCCATACATACACAAACTTATCTTGCAGCCCTTACACATACAAACACAGATTCACACAATGCATTCCTTACACACATCAGGACATCCCCCCACACACACACTCCACTCCCTGTGAACAAACTCATTGGTGGAACATGAAGGTGGACCCTGGGACCCAGACCTTGAGCTGTGTAAAGGGCCCTCAAAAAAATGGAGCTGCTTCCCGTTCTCCCAGAACAGTGATTTTTGTGACCACAGTTACAAACCGCCTCCAGAGAGCCTGTTGTACACCAGACCAGTGGAGCCAGACGGCAGCTAGAGCCCATCATCATCCTCATCTGGTTGTAAGTAGGCAATCTAGTATATTATTCGTGGCACTAATCTCTAATTTACCTCACATTAAAGGGACACTATAGTCCCCAGAACCACTGCAGCTTAATGTAGTGGTTCTGGTGTCTAGCCTGTCCCTGCAGGCCTTTTAATGTAAACACGGCGGCACTGCAGCACTGGTGTTAGTTAACATGGCAGATCATATGGGTGGGGCATTGTGATGGGATTCGGGGGGCAGCACTTTGGGCGGACTGGGGGGGCAGGGGGCCCAGACCTTGAGCTGTGTCAGGGGCCCCAACATTTCTGATGGCAGCCCTGGTTATAACCATAATGAGGGTGACACCTTTTCAGTGACTGCACTACTGGGTGTACAGACCCGCTACTGTTCTTACAGTGCCCTGCTTTACCCACACTGAGGGTGACCCCCTCTTATCTATTGCACAGCTGGATCTGCAATGTCCGGTTATGGTTATATGAGAGTGACCCCCTCCGGCCGTCTGCACTGCTGGATCTGCAGTGTCTGATCTTTAGTATATGGCTAACCACTATGGCACTGTACCTACAGTGTCCGATTATGTTCAGACTGAGGGTGACCCCCTCCCCTGCTGGCCTATACTGCATGGTATGCTTGTGCTTGTTGGGTGATCCCCTCTTGCACGTTGGGTGACCCCCAGCTGGCAGCACCAGGTATCACTCCGACAGTGTTACCTCAATGGCAGTTATGCAGTCGTGGCTGACGGACAAATTTCACGTACTCAGAAGGCCACTGGGCCTGTCGTCATGCCGTCCTGCTGACCTGACTGCCAGAAATAATCGATACCCTACAGGGGACACTCCATCGGCCATCCTAAACGCTACACCAAGCACCCCTGGTACTCGTTGGCTAACGGATGAACTCATCAAGAGGACCAGTATTCATGACTGAGTCCGGAAAGGACCCCGCAAACACCTGACACAGGGTTTGCACTCTATCCGGGACTAACCACTGGATGTCGATGACACACAGACACAGATTTTTTTCCTCAGGACGAACGACGTGTTACAGCTTGGAAAGCGGAGAGGACTAACTCCCCATTGGGAAGGGGCCGATATGAGTTATAAACATCGCTTATTTGGTTTCTACCCCTGGGAACCGCAAAATGACCCCTATCCAAGCTGGACATCAAACTGATTTGGCATCCATAATGCTGGGTCGGCTCTCCGGAGTTGCCCTCACGTATAAACTGAGCCGACATGTTTTTATTCATAGGGTTTTCCTTAACTAGTCCCAGAGGTCTCTCAGACCGTACCCGGACTCAGGATTAATTTTGCTAAACCTTGGACCATTCCATGAACGATACACATGACCAAAGAGGCGTCCATTCCGGCTCATTCAGAAGGTTGCCCTGCTGGGCGACGGGTGCAGTGGAGTGGACTCCCGCCTCATGCCCACGCTGCATGCTCCCAATGCATATGTTGCCTGTTGACACTTCGGGACGGAGAGCACTCACCCCTCAGAGAGCTGTTCTGCGCGGACGATTGGTGCTCTCTCTCAACTGGACATGAGAGAAACTTGCATGGATTTCACCATCAGCATGGACATATTGGATCTGACTCACTCTCAGTCAACCCAGCTTTTGGGTCTTTCAGGGAAAGACCAAGATGTCCGTC